ATGTGTTCTGAGTTTGTCACACCACAGAAAAATGTGTTATTAGCCACCCAGCCAAATTTGAATGATAAAAAAAGCCGGCAAGTACATAAAATAAGCTATCAAAATCTTGAAAAAATGAGCAGTATTCTCTGCTCTCAAACGCTGGGGGCGTGTCCGCTGGCTGCGCTGAAACCACGCCCACTCGCGGGAAAGCAGCCGACGGTGATATTTGTGATACTGCTTTCGGGACGGGGAGATGAAGGCCGAGACGGGAGATAGTCGGTTCGGCCCCATTCACCAGTAACAGCGGATTATCAGTGAATCCCAGTTGTCTCCGACGAAAGTTTATAAAACTATCCGTGTAAAATGATCGCTACAGAGGCGGGTGTTGGCGGTTATCCTCAGCTATCCATCAAGGTTGGCTCTTCACAAAATTAATCCACCCCTTCTTGATGTGATCGTTTTCAGGAAATTTAAATAAAGACACCGATCTGTTTTGTACGTGATCGCATCCAGGTAGTAGCCTACGCATTTCCGTGTCGAAAGCATAGCTAGCTAGCAAACTGTAGTGTAGTAACCAAGCGGCAACCTCCCTGTCTCTCTCTTGAAACCAACACGGAAGTGAATTAAACTGCAATTCATCTACTGACCGCTGGAGGCAGAAGTGAGTCAAATCTGTATCTCCCCCATGTTAAAATGACCAACTTTACAGCAGAAAAAAACATGTTTACAGCCTGGAGCAAAAAGTGGTTTTAGTCTTTATAGCTTATTTTGCCCTTCATGACAACTGTGAGGGGGGTGAATTTTTTTACAACTCATCCGTTTAAATTATATTAAGCCTGCATAATTAAGGGCGTGGCCACTTGAGTGACAGGCGGATTGCGGCCGTTTGTCTGCTGTCTGATAGCGTCACTCTGAGCTTATTCCAGCAGCTGCTGTACTTGCCATCTCTGCCGTGTTTGTGCTTTTTCGGGATTATTTCATACAATTTAATACACGCATTATACCTTCGCCCACGCCGTTGGATTCCGTTGTTGTCAAGTATGGAGCAGACTGGTATGGAGAGGCGCTGTATTTCCAGTTTTTTTCCTCGCATGCACCAACGTTAATGGATGTCTGACAATTTTGCTAAAAACGTCTATAGATATAGAGACCACACTCGTTATGCGGTACTAATGCTCTCACGGAACAGATATGCTTGTTTAACTTTTTAGTGTTAAATAAAAAGTACCGTCAGATAAAATCCTGCAGGTGTCAGTGCTTTCTCTCCGTCCATGCAATAGATGCACACACTTGAATGAGCGCGGGTTTCTAGTGCATTTACTTGAACTACTGAGGTAATATCTTTGTTTTAACCCATTTGAGAAATTGAGAGGCGGCCAAAATGGACTGAATAAAGCTCTTTACGAACTTGACGTGCGATGCCATGCTGACTGACATGCATGCGCATGAATCACTGTCACACCCACAAGTTTAGAGCAATATTGTAAGTTACTGCATGATAATACATTTTTACAGCAGAATTACATCATACACAGTCTCACTTTTAGTTACGTCTTTTAACTATTATAATATTTCGAAGGGCAAAAACATGAACTATTGGCTTTTATTCTCCAATCAGCTGTCACTTTAGCGCAAGGCCAGTAGCATGTAGCATTAGCACCTCAGCTCCACTCTATGAGCTCCACCCACGTCCCGCCTCTTTGCCCATTTTATTTTATCCAGTAGGGACGAGAGGTGACGCGCTGCCAAGATGGCGACGGCTGGCCCCGCCCACTTTAGGCTTCAAAAACGCTCTTCAGAAACCTACGGGTGACGTCACGGACACTACGTCCATATTTTTTTACAGTCTATGGTAGTAACTAATAGTACAGTAACTCGCGATTGAGCGCCAAACTGAAGCAAATGTGCTTATTGTTAGGGGAGGAGCCAGCCTCAGTGGCCTCATTGCGTCATCAAGTAGGGGCGTGTCCAGGAGCTCAGGGGCTCCAGTGCGTCATCGAGCCCCGTTTTAGCCCCGCCCAAAAAATCCGGAAAATAGCAATGGTGAAAAACTGTTTAACGGTCTAACTCCACAATTCAGTAATTCAGTTCACAGTCTTTGTAATATGTTTTAGCAATACATTTCTAACATTTATAATGGGTTTCAAACTTTTTTTTTAGATTTGCCTTTACAGGAACTTTAACGAAAAAGACTGATGATTTTTTTTTTACGTTTTTGTCACCATTTCTGAACAAGTTTACATTAGGCAATATACACAACAAGCTTACAATATATGTTAAAGTTTTATTTTAGTTGAAAACATTAAACAGTAGGCCTATGTGTAAACAAAGTATAAAAAACAAAAGCATTAATAAAAGCATGCTCAAGCAACGCGAACGGAAAAAAACCAAGACTAATAAAGCAGATTGCGCCAGATATCGTACAGAACGTACACACACTCGAGTCAGCATATTATTATCGTGTTTATATGTTTGACGTTTATGTTGAGAAAAACAATAATATCCACATGCAGGGGCGCCGCCAGCAATTTGTGCGCAGCTCGAGTGAGAAGACGCTGCGCTGACAGATGCTTCAGAGACACAAAGATAACGGTGTTCTAAGTTTCTAACAGCACTTTGCGTTTTCTGTTCTTAAACCTGTCTCCCTCAACGAAACTTAAAGGAGGTATATATGTCATCAAAATAATTTTGCTATAAGATAAGTTATAATTTCGGATCACGCGGGGTCCAGCTGCGCTTACCTGCAGTCGTGAATACAGTGATGGTCAGCTGTCTTTCCTCATTCGACTGTTTGGATTTCATGTGATTTCTCATTGTGGTGATGATATTATAACTCAGATTAATTAATTAATTTGATCAAAAGTAATTCCATTTTGTAAGATCATTTAGTTAGATAGTAATTCCAAACTTCGCGAGGCAGACGACAACATTATGTGATCAAATACACACATCTTGTTAACACACTCCACAGCGCCACCCAGTGCATTTAATTATAACTGCGAGTTAGTGCTTGGGATTTATCATGGATTCACTGCATTTACGGCAGCAAAGCAACGTAGTAAAATTCGAATAGTATTTTATTTTTCGAATAATAATTACAGATCAAATATTCGTAAATTCGAATATTCGTGCACACCCCCTAGTTAAAACTACCCATGACTCGGCTAAGGAAGAGCTGGGACAGGAAATCGAACCTGCCTCACCAGTTACGGGTTCAGCGTATCTTGAGCGTGTGAACGAACCGTTCGGCCTTGGCCTTGCTTCTAGAAAAGATCTCTAAAGCCTGGTTGAGACTAATGTAATTTAAAAAAGCTTGTGTTTGTGACTCATGAAATTTGAAGCCCAGACAGAACACCTTTTGTTTGAATAGAAACCCAGAACTATGTATTTAATTACAAATTCACAACAACAAAAAATGTCTGATTCCTCTGAAATGCATGTTTAAAGTTACAAAAATTACATCACAGGCAACTTCTCCATGTAAAAATCATTTGTTTCCTTACCTGAAAAGGGGGATCTAGCAATTCAAGATTGATAGGCCTACACATGTTTTTTTTATTTAGCCTTTCTTGTTTATTTAAATAAATGGCAGTTGTCAAGGATGTCAATCGTATGGACGCCAAGATTAAAACTTGTGGAACTGGTTATCATACCCAATCGAAGCGTGACTTTCCAAACTGTTGACATTGTATTGTCAAGAACGTGATAAATTTCGAAAACTGGAACAGTTACTTGACTTGTTTTTTCCCCCTGCCGGTCAAGACCTCCCAAGTTTCCAGGGAAGTCATATTGTTGAACTTTGGGGATGGCTAAAACATTTTTACTGGCTTGAGTCATCAGGACCGAAGAAATTTACGGGGAGATGGTTCTTTTTATAGGATTTCTGTTTTAAAGTGCTGCTGTATGTGTTTACATAATGTTAATATTGTTAACAGCAAGATTAGATCCTGAACTTGAATTAATAAAAGTTTGTATCTCCTCAAAGTTGATTTTGTGGGGAGGGGGGGATACTTTTTTTAATATTTTTTTATTCCAATTTAGGTTTTGTCATATATCAAATTAAAGTTCTGCATAATTCAAGTTACTTATTACTCCTGTACAATATTTAGTGACTGCTAAATTAAATGATTTAGCAGTTTCGCAGTTCAGGCAGTATGATGTTAAGTGTAGAAAGTGTAAAGAAGACCAATAAGTATATATATATATGTATTAAATATTGTCATTAAATATTTTGGCTAATTGTTTTTTGTTTGTTTTCAAACAATTTCAAGGTGTCTTTTTAAATGATTAAATGCGTGTTTGTTTATAATTTCTATTTTATTTAAGTGTAGAAAATTTGTACAAAATTATATTTGTCAACATGGCTTATTAAACACATTCTGATACCAATAAGTGTCTTGTGATCCTTAGTTCAGTTCTATTAAAATCAAATGTATAATAATCATAGTAATAAATGTAATATTAATAAATGTATTGTGGTTTGTTTGTGGCACTGTCTTTTATACTTTTTAAAGGCTGTTATTAAATGTGTATGTGTAATGTTAATTATTAATTTAATGAGTGTAGAAATTTCAATAAACAATTAAACAAATACAATATTTGCCTAAATGGCTTAAGTGATCTAGTGATCTTTGTTCTGTCAATAATAATAAACTAATGTAGTAAATATATTATTGTAATTTTGTTGGGGTGCTGTCTTTTATACTTTTATTATTATTATTATTTTAATAATTTGTTGCCCTAAAGTATTGATTTACTGTGATATTAAGAGGCTGTTATCATACTGAAGCCAAAATATTATCTAACCCTATTCCAACATTTTCTCTCTCTCTCTCTCTCTCTCTCTCCTCTCTCTCTCTCTCTCTCTCTCGCTCTCTCTCTCTCTCTCTCACTCTCTCTCTCTCTCTCTCTCTCTCTCTCTCTCTCTCTCTCTCTCTCTCTCTCCTCTCTCTCCTCTCTCTCTCTCTCTCTCTCTCTCTCTCTCTCTCTCTCCTCTCTCTCTCTCTCTCTCTCTCTTCAGGCACGGAGAGAGCGGCAAGAGTACGTTCATCAAACAGATGCGCATCATTCACGGGACAGGCTACACCGACGAGGACAAGCGCGGCTTCACAAAACTCGTCTACCAGAACATCTTCACCTCCATGCAGGCCATGATCCGTGCCACAGAGCACCTCAAGATCCATTCAAATACGAAGAGAACAAGGTGACAATCCCTGGCCGTCACTGCGCTGTAATCATCTATCTGATGCCCAGAGTGCACGTCGAGATGCAAATCAAACCCAGATAGGCCATAAACATGGCTATAAAAAGCACTACAAGCCTCACTTGTAAATTTTATTGCTGTCACACCATGGTCAGCTGTCTTTCTTCTGTGCAGGATTACGGGTTAATTATTCTCATGTTTTGCTTTTAAAGAATCAGTTAATATTTCCTAAAGAAGATCCTTAAACTTTAACTCGACAACTTCTGGACCCCTCTGGAAGTCATTAGTATTACACAGCCATTAAGTCATAAACTGGGTTGTTTACTGTGTACTGTGTCTTTAACCACAGCCCAACGCTCTGCTGGTGCGAGATGTTGATGTGGAGAAGGTTTGCTCCTTTTGAACAGCCCTTTGTCAATGCAATAAAGATGCTCTGGGCGGATCCAGGCATCCAGGAAGCCTATGACCGCAGGCGAGAGTACCAGCTCTCCGACTCCACTAAATAGTAAGTGTGTGTGCTGTCATTAGCCATTAGATCCTTTTAACTTCATTGCTTTTAAATGAGTTGTTGAATGCTCTGTCTTTACTTAAGGTCAGTTAGAAGCACATTTCATGTATAAATGCAGTATTAAGGCCCGTTCACACCAACAACGATGCGTGTAACTGTAATAGCATCCACATCAACAAGCAATTATGCTCTGTTTATTATAAGCGCGCTCTCCAGTTATGTTGCCTGTCACTTTAAATGGTTGAGCTCTTAAAGTCAGGTGGATTCTGATTGGCTGTCAATGTTTTATTGTTCATCAGCTTAAATCATTCCAAAAGTGATTCCAAAAGTATTGTTCTGTGTCGTTATCGTTATAGTTGTGGTGTGGACTTCTCTACTCTCATAGAATGAGAATGATTATTCTTTAAAACTGTATCTTTATAATTATCATCTTTGGTGGTGAACGGCCCTTTACAATACAGTAATATAATTTATTTTGATCACAAATGGCATAATTAGTTTGTTACACCCACATGGAATCTACGCTCTTCCCAAAAACTTGTGAAATTAATATTTCTACCCCGGTAGAACACAAGACATTTTGAAGAATGTTTACGCTGCTCTTTTTTTAATACAATAAAAAGCTCCTAGGTGAGAAAAGGCTGTCAACATCCAAGAATATGCATAAAAGAAGCCCATGTTGATTGTGAGCAATGTCTTTTGAATTTATATGATATCTTTGCTCATAAGGTTCGGTCACACTGCGCTTTTTCAATATATTAGCTTCGATCTATATGTATGCGAATACAGGGGACGGAAAACTACTCATGTGAATTTGCTGCGGTCCAAAATTCAAGTATGTAGAATTCGTATCACATGAAAACGTGTGCCCAATAGAAGACTGATATTTAGAATTTTACATTATGGATATATTATACATGGAATTGTGTTTTTTAAAGAAATCGCCGAGTTTGACGACATATTTAGACTATTGCGTTTGTCGAAATTTCACATGCGTAATGTCTGGTGTGACTGTGGCTTTAGGGTGTTTTCACGCCTGGCTTGTTTGGTAAAAAAAAAATTTAATTTATGCATATACGAACATGGCAGTTGCACTCGAATGCGCATCAAAACAGTCGGTCCAAGATCACCTGAACGAGGTGTTTTCTGGCCAAATGAAAACTAACTCTGGAGTGGTTCGCGTCTAGTGAGAAAGTCTGACCTGACGGACCAAAGAACCAATATCTTTATGAATGATTCCAGCTCAAAATCATACATTTTGTGGCAATGTTGTCAGACATAAATGACACACTTCTGACCAATGAGAGGACAGTTTACTCAATTGTGACTTGTATTAAAACATTTGTCAGTTGGCTTCAAAATGTTGGCTTGTGAAAGAAAACCAAAACCAAAATGCATTATTGTTGCCATTTCAACCACAAAAAGTAAACTAACTACAGATCTGGAAATTAGTGGTTGATGGCCAACATCTTAAAGGGATAGTTCACTTTGAAATTCATTTTTGGTATGTTTTAGCTTACCTCAAGGGCATCCAAGATGTAGGTGTCTTTGTTTCCGCAGTAGTTTCAATTTTGATATTTTTAGGTCAAACCGTTCTTGTCTGTCAGTCATATAATGCAGGTCTATGGTCACCACCTCAAAGAGCATGCTCAGAGAAGTCCAAATTAAACATGATTTAATGACTCGTAAATGTAAGTACACATTGATGGCCTAAGACACGAAACGAGCGGTTTTTATATCGTTTTTACCTCTTGTAAACACAGCCAGGTCCAAGTGATCTGAGGGCGCGGGCGCTTAGGTCTGCGCAAGCGCCGGAAAGCGCCGGAAGTGATCTCTCCCGCGTGTACGTCACTCATTGTTTACACAGAGATTCGTCTTCGTAAAATCGTCTTCCATTGCGATTTCCTGTATATCTAAATATGTTTAGATCTTCACAGTGAAAGGTAACAGTTCCGAAATCTGTGTAAACAATGAGTGACGTACACGCGCGAGAGATCACTTCCGAAGCGATCAAGACCGAAGCGCCCGCGCCCTCAGATCACTTGAAAGTGGCTGTGGTTACAAGAGGTAAAAACGATATAAATACTGTTCGTTTTCTCACACAAACCGCTCGTTTCGTGTCTTGGCCATCAATGTGTACTTACATTTACGAGTCATTAAATCATGTTTAATTTGGACTTCTCTGTGCATGCTCTTTGAGGTGGACCCCATAGAGCTGCATTATATGACTGACAGACAAGAACGGTTTGACCTAAAAATATCAAAATTGAAACTACTGCGGAAACAAAGACACCTACATCTTGGATGCCCTCGAGGTAAGCTAAAACATACCAAAAATTAATTTCAAAGTGAACGATCCCTTTAAAGAACAGGGTGGCCGAAATAAAGCATATATTTATTTTTTGGAATTAATATTGAATAAATTAGAAATAAATCATTTGAAAATGAATTTACTTTACTCTGTCATATTTCAGTATTTTTTGCAAATAAAGACATTTTATTACATAGAGTATACACTGTAACCAACAAGGCACTTCGTAGTCTAAGTTTGTGCACACTGGGAATCATATTTTTTTCAAATAAAGACAAGGTAACAGTAATTTTACAGACAGCACAGTGAAAATGACGTTTGCCTTTGTTACTAATAATATAAAAACAAACGCTATAATACTTTTTCGTATGCAGTTTAACAGTTCTAGAATATCTAGTAACGTATTCAACAAAACTGTTAAAGGAACACTCCGACTTTTTTAAACTTTAGCCTATTCACCTTATCCCCCAGAGTTAGATAAGTCCATACATACCTTTTTCATCTCCGTGCGTGCTATAACTCTATCTGACGCACCCACCGCTAGCCTAGCTTAGCACAAAGACTGGATGTAAATGGTTGCAGCTAGCATACTAATCCAAATAAGTGACAAAATAGCGCAAACATTTTCCTATTTACATGTTGTGATTTGTATAGTCACAGAGTGTACAAAAAACAGTCACATGAGACACAGACATATTTTAACCGTATAAAAACTGGGAACTATATTCTCTGAAGGCGAAGCACTGCTACTTGGGCGGAGTAATAACCGCAGCACCTGAGACGCGCCGTGGTGAGGAGCAGAGAGTTCGTTCAGAGTTTGGGTACGGTACGTCTCAGGTGCTGCGGTTATCACTCCGCCCAAGTAGCAGTGCTTCGCCTTCAGAGAATATAGTTCCCAGTATTTATACGGTTAAAATATGTCTGTGTCTCATGTGACTTTGTTTTTTGTACACTCTGTGACTATACAAATCACAACATGTAAATAGAAAAATGTTTGCGTTATTTTGTCACTTATTTGGATTAGTATGCTAGCTGCAACCATTTACATCCAGTCTTTGTGCTAAGCTAGGCTAGTGGTGGGTGCGTCAAACAGACTTATAGCACGCACGGAGATGAAAAAGGTATGTATGGACTTTTCTAACTCTGGGGGATAAGGTGAATAGGCTAAAGTCCCAAAAAGTCGGAGTGTTCCTTTAAGAGACCATAACTAAAGACGATCAAAATAAAAGTCCCACTTCCAACACATTCCAAAAGTTATCGGCCGAGGTCAATATTTAAAAAATGCTGATATATCGGTCGACCACTACTGAAAATCCCCTTGAATCTTATTCTCACTCATATTAAAACCCGTTGTGTCAGGTTTGACTTGCTATCGACTCTAACGTAGCTCGTAACCGAATGAGTTGAGGTAAGTTAGAATGGGAAAAAAAAGAATCCTCGAACCCTCTGTTTTACAAAACTAAATCAAGCAAGTTTGGAATGACGAGGGTGAGCTTTTCCAAATCTGGCTGGAAAATATGAAAAGTTTGTGAATTCCATGTGGGTCTACTTCTGTAGTTCTGTATATGCACATGTACATGCCTGTTTCTTACCGGTTCATCCCCACAGTTACCTTAATGATTTAGAGCGTATATCAACTTCGGGATACGTGCCCACCCAGCAGGATGTACTGAGGGTCCGAGTGCCCACTACTGGCATCATAGAGTATCCCTTTGACCTGGAGAATATAATCTTCAGGTATCGCCAATCCACGGCACACCCTCACTGCCGCCGCTGTCTCCTGACCTTTAACCTGCTGCTGTTGCAACTGCACTGCTGCCTTCCCTGAACGCATTCTCACACCCACCCGGGGCTCAGCTATTGCTGTTGTTGTTTCTTTGCTACTCTTAAAGAGTTTTGTTTCGGGGGAACTCTGTAGAGATCTTCACCGGAGTAAGCAGAAGGTTGTGCCGTCGCATCCCAGGATCCCCGAGCGGCATTCTCTCACTGCTTTTCCAAAGCTCTTAAAGGGATCTGCTGCCATGCTTCATTTTGTTTTCTTCTTCCTTCTCTCTCTCCGTCTCTCCTTGTCTCTAGCTATCTAAGCGATTTGGACCGTATCGCAGAGCCGTCGTATCTGCCGACCCAGCAAGACGTGCTTAGGGTTCGCATCCCTACCACAGGGATTATTGAATATCCCTTCGACTTGCAAAGCATCATTTTCAGGTAGATCATAATGCCGGCGAGGACTCCTCCCCATTTGAATGTCTCCATGTTTGTAACATTTTGCAAATCAGTGCGTTGATCTGGTCCATTACGGCCAGTTGAACAAACGAGGTTCGATAAGTTCACCCACTTTTCTGTGACGTTATTGGCTGTTAATGTCCTTCTTAGTCATTAACCTCTTTGCATCATTAACTTCATTAACATTCATCCGTTTGTTTGTCTTTATCGTATGAAATTTAGGGGATTGTAGAATGATTTGGGGTCATCTTTTTTCTTTTCTTTTTTTTAAACCAGTAACAGGTTCTTGGGTCAAATGCCACATTTTTTGCCTTTCTTTTTTTTTTTTTATAAAATAAATTGATTTAAATATTTTGCGTTATTTAGCAATCGAGTTTAAAAAGAATAATGTACTTTTTTTTTTTTTTTTTGGTACCAAAGCTTTCGTTTTTGTGTTTTGTTTTGAATATAAAATATATTTTTTTAAATATATTTAGCTGTATGTAAAGTCTTTTAGACCCTGTTTACACCTGGTATTAACATTTTGGTTGATCGGATCACAAGTGGACGACGCTAAATACAGGTGTAAACCGGGTCTAAAGCGTTTCGAGTTTGTCCACTTTCCACCACTTCCAGAGGTAGTCGAAAACACATAATTATTCATTAAACATTAATTATGGGAACATTAAACTTTGTCGGCTGAAGTCCCAAATTTGGTTTGAAGATGAAAAACGTACAAAGCACAATGTTCTCACACCATTTCTGATTTCTAACACACACTCACAGCGTTTGGCGTTGTCTTGTGTCTGTCAGAGCAGAAACTAAAGCTGCTGCTCTCCGTATGTTTCTCCGTCGTCTTCGGGCGCGTTCATATTTGAATTCTTATTTCGTCTATTAGATTGAAAGATCTGAAAAAACACATACATTTACCCGCCAATAGACCCTCCCCAAATCAGGACAGAAGTGGTCGAAAGTGGACAAAAGAGACGGATTAAAATACTTGAAATACATCTACTTGTGATCCGATTGACCAAAACGCATCATGAAGGTATAGCGGAGGATCTTTCTGAATTTTAGAGAAGACCCGCCCTCTCCAATTTTTAAAAAATTATTACTTAAGGGTTTCTTTAAGTGAAACGTCTAAAACACTTAAGATTTCCCTTAAATGCTGTTTTTTTCACTTAAGTAGTAAAACCAGCTTATCCTCAGACAGCTTTTTCATAACCATGAATATCACCAGAATGATTGACAACTAGGAGGACCAATAGTCTTGATGATCCACCCGGATAAAGAAAATCCTCCGCTATACCTTTAATACCAGGTGTAAACAGGGCCTATTTTAAATGATCCATTTTACATTTTGATACAAAAGCTTTTGTTTTGTTTTTCCTTTCGTTTTGAATATAACACTTTTGTATTTAAATCGAATTAACAAAGTTTAGCAATCAAATTCAAATGAACAGGTAATATAATGTCTCTTTTTGATACGGTGATAAGAATTTGCTAAAGCATTTGTTTTTTATTTTGTTTAGTTTAAATTTTGCCTTTTGTTTGACGTTGTTGAATGCCCACAATGTTTTTCTTTTTTGTCTGCGAGCTCAGAAAGCACATGGATGCAAATTGACCATAGTAAGATTTGTAATTTTATCAACCACATACCAGATTGAGTTCATGCTACAAAAAAAACGTATAGATCCTAGCATGGTATCGCTGTTTTAATAGTGGCGATGATGTTGATTTGAAGTTCACGGTGGCCAGGCGGCAGAGTTCTTTGACAATAATCAAAAGTACCTTTCACACATTGCAACTGAAGGCCTGAAAGCACATTAGCGCAGGAGTTTGAGCTCAGGCCTGTGAAGGGGGAACGTTTACGAACCGCAGGTGATGCGGCAACGAGAAGCCCTCCACAACCCCCCTGTTTAGAGCCGAGATGAGAGAGAGAATTCCTCTGAAGAGAGGTGATCACAAAAGCCCGCAAATCGATTGGAAGCCAGCGTGTCAAACCCCACCTACGCACGCTGGCGCCAGAAATAACTTCACTTACAACAAGGTTCCCTCTTGATCTTGCTTGACAAGTACAAATAACGTATTTGTGAATGTTTATTGTGCATTTATTTAACAGCTGTAGAGAACGGCTCAGGAAGGTGGCTGGGTCACATTCCAGGTAAATGTCAAGGTAGATCTAGTACGTTCAAGACCACTTGTGGTTTTAGGTGATGCATACTAGAAAATGCAAATAACCTGTAGGCGATGTTACGAAACCCAGAAGTGTTTTGGTTGAGTAACCTAAATGGTTCCGCACTTAACTCAACCCCAGCCATTAAAACATTCTGCAACAAGGTTGAGTTGTCTTCCTCTCCGGCTCCTCGTCCTCCGGAGTAAGAGAGCTTATCCTCGTAAGTAGGTCAGCTGTACCTCCTGCAGGAATGGAGGCTGGCTGAAGAGGCTTTATTTTAGGTTGTAGCTCCTGAAGGAGTCCATTTATCAAAGCTTTACGCCTGGCCGCTAGAGACCGAGCTAGCGAGACTGTGTTGCCTACATAAAATAAAATCCTTCTCTAATGTTTTCCCTTACTGAGTGCAGGTGTGACGGGCGGGGGGGAATAGCACAGCTGAGAATTGCTCTGATTATTCCCTTGTTTTAGCTGGAATCTCCTGTGAGTTGTCTCCGTACATTTCCATTAATTTAGGAGCAGTGAGCGTTACTGACTGCTGAGCTGGGAATGGCCCATATTCTTGTAATGCGCTGTAATTTTAGACGAAGTGTTAAGGTCTGTTCACGTTAAGAGTGATAGAGAAAAGCAGTTTGATCATTCGCCTGCTTTAATGCAAGATATAATCAGTGCTGGGCAGATTACTTGCTAATTGTAGTCCGTTACTAATTATAAATTACATGATGAAATTGTAGTTAGTAATGTAATGATTACTCATTTTAGGTAATGTATTCGGACTACATTTAAACTACTTTTGACTTAATTTATCTATCACTTTGTTCATCACTTGAATGGGATTGTGCACCATATTGATGAAAAAATTCCATTCTTTATCAACAACATGATATGCATTATGCATTGCATTATGCCAGGGCTTCCCAAAAGGAAGAATCAGTAAATTATGAATAATTTGCTGCCATTGTGTGAATGTTATACATTAGTTAACTTCAGTTAATGCATTAACTAACATTATCAATGAAAAATAGTTGTTTTTTTTTACCTAAAATTTTACCTAGTTTCGGAGATAACATTTTTAATTTTTATTTAACGAGATACTTAAATAACTTAAACTGAAATAAAATGAATAAAAACTTTGACACATAAAAACTAATTCCAAAACACAACTAAATTAATACAACTTTAAAGAAAATTATAATTATAAATAGTAATAAAATCTATAATATCTCAATGATACTAAAATGACACTGACTGTACAGTGTAGGCATTATTATTATTATAAAAACATAACGTCATTTGCTTGAAATAAAATGAACGTAAAATGACTTAAAATAATTATTTTATTTCAGCCAGTTGCCAAGATGACATTTTTCATATTTATTAAACTTGATGTACTAAAATAACAAACTAAAATGGAAATAAAAATATAGACATATTAAACTATATATAGGCATATTTAAAAAATAAAATTTAAAATGACCAAAACCTTAACTTTAATAGTAAAATCACCTTCTGAATTTCATTTCTGAATTAAGTCTTTTTTTTTTTTAACAATTCCTTTTATTTTTATTTCTTGATTTGATTTTTACCCCAGATTTTAACCTAAAATATATAAATCTGCAGAGATTTTTTTTTCATGTTTCAAACTAATATAATTTTAATAATATAATCTAAACAATTAAGAATGGAAACATTTTTTTATTTTTTTTATTGGTATTTAATTCTTTACACAATACATATTAAAATATGACTGTCCCACTGTGGCATTACTTGCGTACCAAACCGAACCGTTGATGTTTGAATGGTAGGAATGTTTTTGTTTTTTTAGGGTACTTGTTTACCATACACTAAAGTGTTCGTAAAGAGCTTGCTTGAGATGAAACGATGTTATTAAACTAGTGTGTTAATTTTATTCATTAATTTTATAAAGTCCACAGGGCCAAAAGAGCCTGTAGAAATGTCCATATAGCCAAAAGCTCACATCTGATTGGTCAATGAGGTTTAGAAGAAAAATCTACCATCACACTGTCGTTATATTACTTTTTGTCCATGATATACCAATATACTTTTAGCTTATCTTTAATAACCGCCCTTGTTGTGAATAAGCTTTGAGCGTGTCATTCCTGGAGCACCTTAGAATTGCGTATCTGTTTTTCCATCTGTCCCGGGGCTTCACTGATACAGTGCCAAAGTCTGAGCACGCCATTTCCTCGCTCATTCACCCCATCCGTCATGTCCATTCTTCTCATTGTCTTTGCATGGATGTTACTAATCCCAGCGTGCATCTGAAACTCTACACTTCTCTTTTTGTTTGTGGCGGATCTATAAGTGTGTAAGTTTTGCTTCCTTTGTGAAACAATGTCACTGTTCTTTCAGAACTGAACTGAAGACGGCCGGCTCCATACTTGACCATAGATTCATTCTCCCGCTCGCAAACTCTCCAGTCGCATGATGAAATCACAATTACGCGCTTGTTTTCCCGTTTCGATACTTCTGTAATTCTTTGTACTAAATTGGGAAGGTTTTACCTCTGCTGTCATGTTTTGAGCTGGTCTTTTTCGGTTCACGTTTTATCCAAACAGTTGATACCTGGAAACTGTGCAATGTCACGACTTAATTTGTGCATGTTTGTGAGAATGAATTCCAGATGTAATGCGATTAACCTCATGATTTTCCTGCCAAAATGTTAATATAATGATAACCGACATGTGATTTTTGAGGTGCATCTAATTTTGTATGACAAGTGGTTCCCATCCTGAAGTGCCCATTTATTTTGCTGCCGTTGCAGGGCCACTAGATGTAATTTGATTTAATAAACGGGCAATATTGTTACTCTTCGAGAAATCTAGTAGCCGAAAGTGGTGTATGGGGAAGTGCAAACCTCTTTCGGAAATGGCCCTTTTTTTTTCTCGACGACCAACAAAACTTAGTTTTAAGGACTAGTGGTTTTAATTCAATGTCCAGATTGGTCACCATGTATGCAATGTATGCCTTAGTTTTTCTCTGCTTTTTCATTGTCATCCTCATCAAACCCTTCTATGTCTACTCATACTCTGTTACCTCTGTCTCAGGATGGTGGATGTCGGAGGGCAGAGATCAGAGCGCAGGAAGTGGATCCACTGCTTTGAGAATGTCACATCTATCATGTTCCTGGTTGCCTTGAGCGAATACGACCAGGTCCTTGTTGAATCTGACAATGAGGTGATTATTTATATTTAGGTTTTTTGTTGTGTGTGTATTTATTTTGTGTTTTATTTATTTATATATTTATATATACATACATACATATATGTATGTGCGTGTATAAATGAGTATAATATACATATTACATTTTTTATTATTATTGTTATATTTTTTTTTTTATGTTTTATTACTATTAGTTATTTTTATTTACTTTATATATATTTTATAATGAATGAGTATAATATACATATATTTTAATTATTATTATTATTGTTATATTTATAGGTTTTTAATGTATTAATATTATCATGTTATTTTTAGTTATATTATATATTTTATAATGTATAAATAGAAGTGAATAAAATGAAGTATTTTATTAATTTTGTCACTGTTGTATTTATAGGTTTGTAATGTATTATAGATTATTTTGTTTTATGTTTACAAATATTAAAACAAATGAATATAATGTACATTTGTAAATTAAAATTATATTTTAATATTTTTTATGCATTTATTATTACATTTTATAATGTATAAACATATTAAATGTACATTAATATATGAAATGTTATTTTATTATTTTTAATTCTTAATTTTTCATATATTTTTCTTTTCTTTTAAATGCATTCTAATGAATTGTTCCACTGCATGATGGGAAGGCCCTTTTCCGTCAACTTAAAAATTTCTTAAATTTGACCCCACATTAACCCTGGATTATCTTGAGAGCAATATTAAATCTATGAAGTAGTCATCATTTTTTATTTTTTTTATGGTACATTATATAGTATAACATTACAATATATTATATTCAGAAATGCATCAATTAATATAACTGGTGTTCATGGAACAGTTAGAAGTGGATTTAACCATGTTTAATGATGCTTGACAGTAATGTGCATTAGTCCTCAGCGCAGTCGAAGCTGGACCGCCCTTTCATTGTGGTATTTTTGTTTCTGAAATCTGCAGAATCGCATGGAGGAAAGCAAAGCTCTGTTTCGCACAATCATCACCTACCCCTGGTTCCAGAACTCTTCAGTCATTCTGTTCCTGAACAAGAAGGACCTTCTGGAGGAGAAGATCATGTACTCTCACCTAGTGGACTACTTCCCTGAATTTGATGGTAACATCCTCTTAATATTCAGATGAAGCCTACACTGACACCATGTGGTAGACTTGTGAACTGCAACCACTTCCAAAAAACATTTTGTTTTGCTTCCATAGCCTGTTTTGTCTCCATAATCAGTGATTTGTTTACTTATCTCACCTACCGACTCCGCAGGTCCACAGAGGGACGCCCAGGCGGGCCGTGAATTCATCCTGAAGATGTTTGTGGACCTGAACCCGGACAGCGACAAGATCATCTACTCGCACTTCACCTGCGCCACAGACACCGAAAACATCCGCTTCGTCTTCGCGGCGGTCAAGGACACCATCCTGCAGCACAACCTAAAAGAGTACAACCTAGTGTGAGAGAGAGAGACCGAAAGAGAGCGAGACACCTGCAGCCCACATACGGCCGAAAGCACTACACACCTCACACGCAGAAACACACACGCACGGGAACCGTGCGGACACACCTTCACTCCCATTTGGCACTGGATCTTCATGTAGTCCTTTTCTTTGCCTGTTTTTTCCTCTCTTCCTGAGTGTCGACCCCCTCCAGTTGATAGCTTTATCATCCACTCTTCCTCAAACCCGAGGGCTGGGCCGCTAAACCGGTGCCTAATGATAAAGAGCATCCGTTTGCTCTGTAGATGGGCTGTAGGTGGGCTCTACCTGAATGAAACTGAGGTACGAACTTAACGGAAACACTCGGTGGAGGCGCACGTGTCCGTAAACGAAGAGTGGGCGACATTCTTGAAAGACTTTACACCTCGCATCACTGAATTTAACCAGGTGTTAGTTGTGCAATCACGTGTTATAACACTAGAGGTGAAGGTGATTGGATGATTTGATTTAATACTATTTTAGGAGTGATGTATAGAGATTTCCATTCACTACTTGAGTACTTGGAGAAGACCATGTGACTTTTTCCGAGACGTGAGGAAGATAAAATGAGTTAACGAGAGCCGCCGCAGATTTGAAATGTGTGATTTCGATCGAATTGTGTTCAACTGTCCTGAAATTTTTCAACAAATTCCCAGTTCTCATCTGTATCCGCTAAATTTGTCATTTAGGCGCCAAACTGTTTCCTCCAGTCCAGTAGTTGGCAGTATTGGGTGTTTAATCAGTATAATTAAATGGATCCAGCTAGTATTCAAAGATATTAACCGAAAGATTGTGATTTGTTTACATGCTTCGACACAAATCAGTTTTGAATCTTTGAAGGAATCAAATAAACGCCTTTCCCAGCTGATTCATATACGTTTTTACTTCGTATAACATTACAAAAATATGAATATCCAGTGATTGAAATGTTCGTAAACACTCAACGCAGCACAACACAAAAGTGCTATATAGGGTGAAATCGATTCGCTTTTTTTTTATTTATGTAATTTATGGACCAGATATGTAATCGGACTCACTTTTCCGCATGTGCGCACTACAACGAAAGCGGGGGTTGAGTCTCTACTGCTGTAAAAAATCCATTGGCAAGTGATCTTTTCTTTTTTGGTATTGATAAATTGATTGTCACCGTTCTGTTCTCTTTTAGTTTTTTTTTCCCTAATATTTGAAATGCTTGAAAATGGGAAGTTGAATTTCCATTTCATCAACGTCGCTTTATGCAAATAGGAAATTGAGAATTTTATCAGTGGTTGAATTCTTAACTGGTCTCTGCTTGCATTGTTTTTTTTTTTTTTGAGAGTTCGCTCTTGGTTTCGTAGTATCATATCTTAGTTCTCACTTGATTAGCTTTTTGGATTCCATAGCTAGCTGGCTTTTTTGGGATCTTTATGATGTAATTCAGGTGAGTTTTCATACTTTTCATTACAAGGGCTAATTGTGGGCGGAGAATGAACCGACTCTATGAACACTATAGAGCAATAGGTACGCCGAGGTGGGTATCTGAATCAGGGACAGCGCGGGTGACGCCACAGGAGTTGCCATTTTCCATAGGTTCGACTTGCAGTGCATCCAGGGAGCACCTTTTGTGTGGCCCTTGCGATCCTCGGGAAAAGTACGCTATTTCTTGCCGTAAGTTAAGCGACTTTGGATGGATGTTGATGGATGAAGTATTAACTGTTTTACTCGGTGGCGGTGGTGTCGCACATTTCTATTTGCCATGTTTGGTTTTGGGGGCCATGACGGTATCGCTTTTGAGTCCCGTTTACTCATTTATCGCACACCTTGAATTTATCGCACATTAGCACTCGTACAGTCTTATTGGCTTTTGTTTGTATTATCGAGACAAAATAGCTCGAGAGAACCTGATTCGTTGGAATTTGCGAAAATAGCGAAATCTCACGTTAATCACAACGGTCACTTATTGCCGCAGTTTTTTTCTGTTTTAAACCTGTAATTGAATGTATTTTAAGAGGTTTCTCTATTTGTGACGAATTCTATAGTTTGGAAGTGTCGGTCAGTGCACAAGGCTTGTGAAGGTGTTATTTATACGCATTTTCCCCCCAACCGCAGCTGTATATTTGCTGTTTTGTTGCGTTTAATCCTGCAAGCCTTCTTTACATACAGTTGGACCTTTTGGTGCATTGTGCGACTTGTTTGCCAAATTGCGGAAAAAAACGAACATTTTTGTTTAATTAAACGATCCTCCCGTGCCAGGCCAGTTAAGTGTTTTGTTTTGTTTCATTTTTTTTTTTTGGTTTCGTTGCTTTGTTGTTTTGCTTTGTTTCATTGTTTTGTTTTGTTTCGTTGCTTTTTTGTTTTGCTTTGTTTCATTGTTTTGTTTCGTTGCTTTGTTGTTTTGCTTTGTTTCATTGTTTTGTTTTGTTTCCTTTCCTTGTTTCGTATCGTTTTGATTTTGTTCGTTTCTCAAACATCCAGAATTTGCATACCGTCATGCTTCTGGGCGGGGTTTCATTCATTTTAAACTGTATGTTTACTTGGGTGGGATGGTACTGTCAGTCGTCATATGCCAATTTCAAATGTTTGCGTTGTTGTACAAATTGTGGACCTGCAAATTATGACGGCATTTTTTTGAACGTGAACGTTTGAAGCTTGTACATACAGCTTTCATTTTAAAGGGCTAGGCCTAATCTGAGAAACACCTTTCTTTCTTTATCCAACTAAAACACTACAGCCATTCATTTCGTACCCATCAAGTACAAAAGTACCAAAACATCATGTGTTATGCAGATGGTAAAAATAGCTTTGATATGCTATTCAACTAAGTTTGTTTTTTTTCCGTCGGTCTCAACAATTGGCGATGAAGTTTGATACGTTTTTCCTCCCTGGGTCAATGCACTGAACCTACTCTGCAGTAATGAAACTAACTCCACTCATGTGATGTATCTGTTCCTCCAAACTTGTTCCTGGTACTCTGAGAGATGCAGACACTAATGAATAGAAATGACGCTTTCGCTTGAGGTCCACACTGACGTGGCTGCGTACAATATGAAGCTATCTTTACTTTTTTTTTTTTTTCTCTTCTGACGTCGATGCATTACCTGAACACTTGTATGTAGGACACTTTAATATAATACATTTGTTTTTGATAAAACCGGTAAAAATAAACTTGTGTAGTGGTGTATAAAATCAAAGTATTGTATTACTTTGTAATGTATTGTTCAGTTGGTTGCTCTTTTTATTTTCAGTTCTTTTTTTTCAGTTCTTTTTTTTTTTTTAAAGCATACCAAATGTAAATGATGTACTATATTGAGTGTGCCAATCCCTTTGATTTGTAGAGCCAGACTCTTTACAAGTGCCAATGTTGTGGAAATCATTTAAAAAGGACTCGTGTATTTTATGGTCCGGTTTTTAAAAACAAATAAACATTAAGTATGTGATTATGGTAAATGCGCAACAGGAAAAGGACAATTTTATTCTGTATTTAAGATTAAAGATGACAAACTGCTGTTTTTAAAAAGAAATGACATTTTAATTGCATGTGTTTGTTTTCGGTGGAAAGGGTTAGGTAAAGGAGAAACCGTATTAACGCAAAACCCTGCTGACAAGGGGCTTAATTATTGTTCATTTACAGTATTTTAGACATATTTCTCTTTTTGTATGTTTCATTTCAACCACTGTTGCCTGAACCTCATTCATACATGAAAATGACTTTCATAGCCTTCTCCTTTAAAGAAAAAAAATATCCATTTTAAATTGGAATAAAATTTGTTCCTATACATTTGGGTCTGTGTTGAGCTTTTGTCCGTCATTTATTACATGAAAGATGAACAAGGTATAGATGATTCTCCTGGTGAAATATGAACAGTCCTTGTAGTTATAATCATAATCCTAGTTTCCACCAAAATGCCATATTTGAGCTTGGTATTACCCTCCCTTCTCATGAAGACTTAAATGGATGACAAAATGATTCATACACTGTTTAACAGATCTCATATTATAATATAACTTCAGCTGCAGTGATATCATTAAGTCTCATTCCTGCATATTTATTGGATGACTGTTTTTACATAAATGAATTATGTAAAAAAAAAAAAGTCAAATGAAATTAATAGATCTAAATTGATATTGTTATATATGAATCATAACTATAGATAATAAAAATGAAATTAAAATATAAAAATGTTTTTCTATATTTATTCGAGCTATGTGGTGGTTCTGTTTTAATATTGTTACATATTAAAATGTTTTTTTTATAAATGGAGTAAATAAAAAGTATATCAAATAAAATAACTATATATAAAGTTATTTTATATATTCATGTGAGCTGTTTACTGGCACGGTTTTGATAATATTTTTAATATTATTCAATAATTAATATTATTGATATCTGATAATATATAACATTTTAACTTTGATATTTATATATATATATATATATATAATTGTAGAGAATAAAAATAAAATACAAATTATATAAATATTCCAGCTATGTGGTGGTTCTGTTTTAATATTGTTACATATAATTGTTTTTAAATATAAATTATGTAAATAGAACGTATATCAAATAAAACTATAAAAAAAATTGAAAAAATATTTATGAGCTGTTTTCTGGTGCTGTTTGGATACTGTTATATATTAATTATATAATAACAATATATATATATATATATATATATATATATATATATATATATATATATATCAATTTTTTTTTTTATTAATATGATATATTCGAGCTATGTGGTGGTTTGTTTTAATATTATTACGTATTAAAACAGTTTTATATAAATTATTATTTATGTAAATAAAAAGTAGATCCTATAAAATTGTATATATTTATACTAGCTATTTGCTGGAGCTGTTTTATGTTATTATTATATTAGTTATATAATAAATTATATATATATATAATAAAAAATAGTTATTTATTATATGATAAATATTATGTATAATATATTAGTTATGTATTATATATAATAATAATATAATAACAAAACAGCTCCAGCAAATAGCTAGTATATAATATATAACATTTTATATGATTTACTTTTTATTTATAAAAAAAAAAAATAATAACAATAAATATATATACATATATATATAATAATAAAAAAGTTATTTATTATTTAAAAAATATAATATATATATATATATATATATATATATTATTATTATTATTTTGTGTGTGTGTATATATATATATATATATATATATATATATATATATATATATATAACATTTTTTTATTAAATATATTTGAGCTATTTGGTGGTTCCGTTTTTATATCGTCACATATGGAAAGAAAGAAAAAAACAGCAGCAGCCATCAGCTCCCAAACTCCACTTCAGCTCTTGCACAGGCACAGCTACTCGGTTTCCTCCAACCAGGGAGGAGAGAGACACACCAGCCCTTTTCTTAGCTCATTCCCAACGTGGAAAAAGGACAGGAAAGATACCATATCAAATCAGCAGATTCCAGCAAATCATCTACGGATCATTTTCCATGCCGAATGCGTGTTAAAGAGCGCGCTCAGTGCGGCACACATCATCAGGCTGTGCTTTATTGCCATAGCAGCAGCGCGAGCTGCCTGTAGCTGGCACAGGAGCTAGCGACGAAACAAAGGAAACACTCACTAAATATACACGTCTACTGAGCAAACTGCTTCCCTGTTCTTTAAGGAGGAGAAGGCAAGACCTCGAAGACCAAAACTGACATGATGTTTCCACAATCCAGGCACTCGGTGAGTGTAAATCGAGCTGTTTGCTGGCGCTGTGTTGATGTTGTTAGCTGGCTTGAGCTTAGCATTGGCAGGAGAGACATCCGTGCAAGTGTGTGTCTGCTGAAACTTATCGCAAAGATTAAAAATGTAACACATATTTCATAATATCGTATTATAACCTTTTATATTTCCAAACCACTCGTTTCTGACTTAAAAAATCCACTAATGGCGCGTGATTTGGCAGGGCATAACTGGGTTCGCAAATGGGAACAATGTAGATGTTGTGTGCTTGTGACATTTAACAGTTGGTGAATTGTGTTTTATTACATTCAACTTCACTCTCAAACCTCATAAATGTGATGCATAACCGTGTATATCTGTTTATTAGTCTGTACTTCGCAACAACGCATGAAATTATGAGATTTCAGATGTTTATGTTGACATCTTTCAGTCTTTTCTGATGAACTCTCATCATTTTGCCAGTGGCTCACACGGAGTAGTGCCAAAATCCATCTGTTAACTAGCACTGCAATCACAGACCTTTTGAAGAACTCTTTTTTCCTTTCTTTTTTTTTTTTTTACTTTTGGCAAAAACCGAAGGTGTAAATCTGTAATGACATGTATTTGCATTATGCAAGATGTTTTCCCTGCAGCAAAGCAGAGGTGTGTGTTGTGTGTGTGTGTGCACCACCTCTTGATCTTTTAGCCAAATTCTCTATCACTGCTTATGAACTCATTTATGGATTAAGTTACACATAACGAGTTGCTTCCTTATCAGCCTGACTAACCTAGGTAAGTGATTTAAAAGTGGGTTTAGAGTATTTGCAATATGCCCAGACTGTGAAACCTCATCACATGTTAAGTTTCCTGCTGGCTGTTGCTGATTAATGAGCTAATATGACATATATTTTGATTAGGCGCTCTTGATTAAAGCTGTATGGCTGGAAATAGTAAGGAACTAGATGTGTCGATGAGCTGCATGATCTGATTTTGCTTTAAAATGATCTTGTCACAATTGATCACCACTTAAAATAAACATAAAGTGGCATCCTCTGCCCGTTTTTTTGTTTTTCCGTAAAAAACATTTTATTTTTTCCGTATTTTCAAGTAAAACTGAGCAAAAATGTAGGGTGACACTTGATTGGTTAGTGTGAAGTGGATTTGGTGATGTCATGCGCAGAGGAAAGTCGTTTCAGTGGCAGCGCGGTTTATCTTAAAGATTTAGATTAGACCAGGAACACATTGGGTCGATGATGTTTATTTTTGTTCCTATTAATTTATTAAAAATAAATGCATTATAAATACATCTCTTTTGCGATGAGCATCTTTCACTTTTATTTTAAGTCAAACAAGGATAACAACAAGGTTTCCTTTTCAAGAATTTCTTTTTTTTTTTTTTTTTTTGCATCATTTAAGTCTTTATCTTGCTTCACACATATTTGTACTTTAAGGCAAGTCAAGGTTACTTTAGTTTGTAAAATGTCATGTGGCTCAAACACACACACACACAAAAAAGGGATTTTTAATGAATTTTAAATGTGCAAAGTAAACTTTTGTCCTTGAATAATAGATTTAATAAAGACCATTTTTTTGAGTCATTAAGTAATCCTTGAAAACCTTTTCTTGAAAATGGAATTTTTTCGAAATCATACGAAACCGACGTGAATGTGAAGAGTACATGAACTTTACACTTGTTTTAAACTAGATTTTTTTTAAATCATGGATACTCTTTTATGTCATTGACCCATTAAGAAAGTCAATGGGGTAAATTTTGATGTTGACTAACACCAGGACTTCTTTGCATTGGGCTGATTGTTGAATGAATAGCTCATCCAACTATATCATGTCATATCATATATTTTTCAGGCGTTTGAGCTGAGATGGTGAATTGAACGGCTCCTTTACAGTCTGATAATGAAGGGCCGACAGGGAGCATGAGAAAATGTGGGCCCAGTTGTAGTCGGCACTACTTTGTTGCCACGGCGCTGTGACTCCATAGCAACGACTTCTCACCAGACTTGACACAGAAAGTGTTTACTCTGACCAGCCTGAACAGTTCATGACTTCAATTGTTCACCCCGGTGTAGTTGTACACACAAGCCTTTTTAATGGGGCAAGCCCACCGCGACCGTTTTTTTCCAAGGTCATCTAATGATGTTTGTATTCTCGTGACGACATTTTCGAACCTTACCCTCCTTAATTGGAGTATTAAGACCCAATACACCAAGTTATATCAGGCATTACAGATTTAAACCCTACGTATTGGAAACGCATCCCGCTGTGCGCGCTCTAAAATACCGGAAATGTTTAGTTGGCATTGTACTAACGTTACTCAGTAAGTAGTACCTGCAAACATATCTCATTTTTTGTGTGCCTGATGACACTTAATAGCGTTTTGTCCTCCATTTTGTTTGTTGAGTCGAGATCCAGACGAGTGATGTCATAATGGTGGGGATTTGTGAATTGGAGTGCGCCATTGATTGTGGCTTTTCAAGGAGTCATTTCTGAAAGCCATTGTTGCAGTAATGGCTTGAAAGAGAAGCGAGAGTTGGCACAGAAATGAACACACACCTATGTGTGTGTGTGTGTGTGTGTGTTGCCCCCGACCTGATGTTTTGGGTGGGGCATTCGGAGCAGATTTATTAGCCTAAGTCGAGTGAGCAGGACAGATCTCCGTCTTTCCCTCCCCAGATCCCTCAACGCGGCGGATAATCCCACATCTTGCTCATTAAATAAACTCTGTTTCTTGCACACACACACACGCTCGCTTATGCATGCACGCCGAAATTTTTTTTATTGCGTACTGCAACTAGGCTACTATTTTTTTCCATGCTAAGATTTAAAAATTACTTTATTTGCTTGTTGTATAGTGGTGAAAGTTTAAATCTGGCTCACGTCACTTGCCGATTTAGTATTTTTAAAATTTCCTGTTCCTTTAAAAGGAAAAAAATAATATTGAAGTAACAAGTATATGAATAATAAAAAAAGAAGAAATAATTCGGACAAAAATGTGCTTTAAATATATTTCAGACAGTATATTGCGCCTTTTCCCTCACAATGTTGTGTCATATTTTTATTTATTTTTTTGGTGTAATTTCTCAGTTCAATTAAAAGTGGGTCGTTTAAATTAATTAAACTGAAATTAACATTTAGATGTGCTACTCGACAAAAATAAAGTGAATGTTGCGAGAGTTACAGTTTAAGATGTGACTCAATATCTTAAATATAATAATTCAATCATATTGTAAATACATGTATCATATGTATTGCAATCTGTATCGTATTGTGAGGTTGTTGGCGATACTATATTAATGTTTCATGTATAGCACAAATTTTTGTGTTTTATATTATAATATACATCAATTAATTTAATATGTATACACATACACACACACACACACATACATTAAATAAAGTAATTTAATTAATTCAAGCATGTTAATATTATAGTAATAATGTGTGCCTTAACAAGCACTGCTAATATATAAAAACATAAATATAAATTTTAATAAAGAATTTTAATGAACATGTAGCAATTTTAATTCTTGCCTTTGCAACCATGACTAATAGTCTTTGATCAATTAAGTAAATAGACGGCAACAAATTCAGTGTTCATTTCTGCAGGTTGAAATTGTAACGCACACACACTCCTGAGCAGATGTCTTGTTTGTTGATGGCAAATCTGCTCATTAGCATCGCAAATAGGTCTTCGAACACCTTTCTGGACTGAAAAAGTGTATGTGGAGAGGACAAAGAAAAAGAGTGCCCATAGGTGTCACTGACTCCTTTATTTCCCTGATTTTTAGTATTAAATGAAAAATTCAGGCCGCTTCAAAAGAGGCGCTGACAATACAGCATCCGCCGTGAATGGGCTCGGCCTGTACTGTGGTGAAAGGACGAGGCACGGATGGCTTAATTAGCTTGTCTGACTGTTTGTGTTCCTCCTGGCCTTTGGTGTGAAGGACACGTGCTGGGATAATTGCGTCGCAGGATTATTTTTACCAGCGCAGGTTTTTTGCCAGTTGCTTGTGGCTTAGAGGCTTTGTATGTTGCACACATGTTTCTGGATGTGTGTGTGTGTGTGTGTGCCACTGAGACAGACGGGCTGCATCAGTATTCTCTGGCAGTGATGGACTTGCGCTGTGGGAAAGCTGCGCCCCAGAGTAAAGCAGCGGTCTGGAACAAAGCATCCTGGTGGGGGACTGTTTAATGTGGCAGCACCTCGCTCAGACCTGCCTGTCGAAAGACACACCGGGCTAAAGAACCCTTCCTAAAGCGCCTCCGCCTCTACAACCAAACACCATGAGCAGCTCTCTTCTTATGGTGTGTTCACACCAAAAGCGAATTTAATTATTTGCGTGAGTAGATTACATACAAAGTCAATGCAAAGAAGAATAGATGCGAATTCGTGCCGGGCAGTGTTGTGCCTGAACGCGTTCAATGAACGATAGTTCATGAACTCGTTCATATTTTGGGCGAACGTGAACTGAACGTACTGAATTACTGCCTGATAAACGTTACGGTGAACTCGTTCATTCTAGGGATGGGCATTTTTCAAAAATATTGCATTCGAATATTCGGGCTCATAAAAATCGAATATTCGAATATTCGTTTATTTAAATGACGTTTAACGAAAAAGACGTTATTTTTTAAGTTTAATTTTTTTTCACGTTTTTGTTACCACTTCTGAACAAGCTTACAATTAGGCAATATACACAACAAGCTTACAGTATATGTTAAAGTTTTCTTTTAGTTGAAAACATTAAACAGAAGGCCTATGTGTAAACAAAAAAATATAAAAAACAAAAGCATTAATAAAAGCATGCTTAAGCAGCGCGAACGGGAAAAAAACGCCTAATAAAGCAGATTGCGCCGGATATCGTACAGAACGTACACACACACACACACGAGTTAGCATATGATTATCGTGTTTATATTGTTTCACGTTTTTATTGAGAAAAACAATATCCACATGCAGGGGCGCCGCCAGCAATTTATGCTCGAGGGAGAAAAGGCGCTTC